GTCTCTCTTCCCCGAACACCAAGGGCTGTTTCCGGTGATGAAAAATGCGAGTATGTAAATACATCGTTTTACACGTAACTTAAGTCGTGTTTTCTTCTTGTTTTTGTTTTATGAATGGATTTAAACTAGTTAATGTTTTGGTTATGATCAAAGCCGCGTTTTCATTTTTAAAAGAACAGTAAGAAGAATGTACTGCTAATGAATACCCGAGTAAACAGTCCTAATTTGGGTACACACGCACGCATAGAGTCACAGCGTGTAAAAGTATACATCTCGCAGACACTACAGACAGAGAGGGAGAGAGGGAGAGAGAACAGAGAAGAGAGAAGAGAGAAAAGAAAAGTAGAGAGGAGAGGAGAGGAGAGGAGAGAAAAGAGAGAGAGGGAGAGAGAGAGAGAGAGAGAGAGAGGAGAGAGAGAGAGGAGAGAGAGAGAGGAGAGAGAGAGAGGAGAGAGAGAGAGGAGAGAGAGAGAGGAGAGAGAGAGAGGAGAGAGAGAGAGGAGAGAGAGAGAGAGGAGAGAGAGAGAGGAGAGAGAGAGAGGAGAGAGAGAGAGGAGAGAGAGAGAGAGAGAGAGAGAAGAGAGAGAGAAGAGAGAGAGAAGAGAGAGAGAAGAGAGAGAGAAGAGAGAGAGAAGAGAGAGAGAAGAGAGAGAGAAGAGAGAGAGAAGAGAGAGAGAAGAGAGAGAGAGAGAGAGAGAGAGAGAGAGAGAGAGAGAGAGAGAGAGAGAGAGAGAGAGAGAGAGAGAGAGAGAGAGAGAGACCGTCAAGGAGGCGCGAGTCCCTCCCCTCCCACGCCTTAGCGAGAGCCTCGAAGGCTCGAAGCTCATTTTTTCCCTTCCTCCGGCCGCCCACCACCCACCGACTTGCTCCCCCGCTTGCATACTTGCTTGCTCGCCCCTCCCCCCCTCCCCCCTTCACTCCTCACCAATGCGTGACCTTGAGAAAGAGGCGGTTTGGGTTTCTTGCCTTCGTGGATCCGACATTTCTCTCTGTCGGGTTCCTCCTCCTCGTTGCCTGGCTTGCTTCCCGAGGACTGGCTTGGCTTGGTTTGGTTTGCGCTGCGTTGGGGGGCACGGGTTTTCTTTAGATTTTGTTTTTTTCCTTCTTCCTCTTTGCAGCTTATTTTGTTTCCCCTTTTTTCTTTCTTCTTATTACTGTTTGTTTTTTCCTTGCGTTTTCTTTTTTTTTCCTCTTCTGCTTTTGCTTTCATCCTCATAGGTTTTCTTCCTTGCCCAAGTTTTCCCATTTCTGTCTCCCCTCTCCTTTTTATCCCTGTCTCTCTGCCTCTCTTCCTTCTCTCGCAACATTCTTCTCTTCTACTGTAATCTCCTCTCCTTCCGTCTTTCTTCCCCTATCTCCTCTCTCCCTCCTCACCCCCCTCATCTCCCTCCTCCTCTCCCCCATCATCCACCTCTCCCTCTCTCTCTCTCTTCATCTATTTCTCCTCCCCTCCTCCCCCCATCTTCCTCCTCTTCTCCTCCTCCCCCTCCTCCTCTCTCCCTCTCCCTTTTGCAGTTTCCAAGTTGATTTTACTGTTTATTTGGAGGCTGTTTAGGATGAGAAATGAATGAAATGAAATGAAATCGAATTCGTTAGTCTTTCGTTTTATTTGTATGAACATGTGTTTTGTTTTCCCACTATCAGTTAAGTTACGATAGAACGATATTTCGTAACCACATGAAGAAAGACAGGTTTCTTTGTTTAATATCTTTGTAAATCCATTCGTAAAAAAAAGGGGAGGCGTGTGAGGTGTTCGTAATAAGAGAGAGGCGGCCGATTTGTCTTGTAGAATCTGGTTGAAAGTGTACAGGTTATCTATCGTGCAGGGATACGGATGAAGTAAAGGCATCGGTGGTCGTTGTAAGAAGGCCTATGTGGTCTGGTCTTTGCCTAGGGGAAATAGGGGGATGAATTCTTTGCACTTCTTTGTCTTGTAGTTATTATATCTTTTAGTTATTACTATCACTGTCATTATCACCATCATTATCAACATCATCATCATCATCACCATCATCATCATCATCATCATCATCATCATCATCATCATCATCATCATCATCATCATCATCATCACCATCATCATCATCATCACCATCATCATCACCATCCCAGTGTATTTAACTGCCTTATCCGTGGACATAGTTAACTCCCACATGTCATAATGGAGAACTGAAAAAGAAAAGAAAAAAGAAAAGAAAAAACATATTTCTCAATTTCCATTCATGACTTCCCCCCCGGGCGTCACCAGCACTGTCATTCTGCCAAATTTCGAAGGAACTTGACCTCGACGACTGCTATGGATCCTGTCATGGCAGAGCAGGTTGTCCATCAAGGGCAGATTTGTTTCTTCTTAAGATTTGGCATGTGGACGGGCTTTTTGTTTTAGTTTTCTTCGTCTTCTACTTTTTTCTTTTCTTTACGTTTCTTTTTTTTCTTTCTTTCTTTTCTTGGTTTCTTATTGTCTTTCTTTCTTTTCTTGGTTTCTTATTTTCTTTCTTTC